ACGGGTACCCGTTTTTACACTCTATCAAAAACGAGCTAAACTCCTCCACGATTGTCAGGAGGTCAATCCCAGGTTCGACACCAGCTATAACACCAATTTCGGAGAGCGAGAGCGGGCAGAGGTGCGGCAATCAGGACGCTTGCAACACTGGTCATCTGTTCCCATCTCTAGCTTCATCATTTGCTCATACAGCTTTGGCAACCCAGGAGTCGTCTCTTTAAGGATACTCGCGGCGTTCCACCCATGCTCCGAGTCGAGCATTTTAAAGACCAGAGCCACCGGAAGAAAACGGTTCTCGGCTCGTTCACGAAGTAGGCCCGAAAGTATGGCCATGATAATGTCGGTATACCCTTCTCTGCTCCCAAGCTTGGAGAGCTTGTGGCTAATATACTCGTCAACAGGAGCATCCAGCTTTTGAGCGTCAAGCTCAACCGAGAAACATGTCGTGCTCGGAGCCTTGAACTCGAGCACCGAATGACTGTTGACAATCCATTTCACTTATTGCACAGTGTCAGGGAAGCTGAATAAGTTCAACAAAATCACCTCGCCCTTCCTGGCACTCGTCAAGCCCTTCCACTGCGAAGATAGCCGCGAGAGGTAATCAAAGATCGCAGGACGGCTGTAGCACTATTCAAGACTGTGTCTGTGCAGAAGAAGTACGAGAGACTGGGTGCTAGGATAGCCGGCTGAAGGGACAGCTCGCGGACGATGCCAATCATGAGCATTGTCTTGCCCGTGCCTACATGTCCCTTTACCCACAGCAGCCGACATGGTGAGAGTTCGGATCCGGCACCGTACCACTTCATGAATGATCCGTCCGAAAGATCCAGTTGTACGCACCGTCGGCTGCGTCCATTCCCTGCAGATGACTTTTGCAGAGTGGCAAAGCATTGCAGAGTCTGGCAAATGTTGCCAAGCGTGCTCTCTTGGCAAGTTCCCCTAGACCCCCAGAGCATACTCCTCGCGCAGCCCGTTGAACTGATCTGAATCCTTTCGAAGCGATTTTTAGCGGCTCTAATGGACTTGAGATCAGCTTCCCAGTCATGCAGAATTCACTGCCGAGCCAATCCCTTCATGCAATTCTGCGGAATCATGTAGGCCGGCCCCGAGAACGTGCATCAAGATCTTGACAAGCTTTTCCGCATCACTCCCCTTCTCAAAACTTCCATATGCAGGCAGCAGCATGCCAGAGTCTTGGCATGTGGACATGGCGGCTTCAGCCTGCTGTTGTTGGCATTCGGTTACAGAGAGCCCGTTGATTCGAGGCTCAACGGACGGCACAAGCACGGCCACCTTGGCTTCCGTGTTTGTGCCTGGCGCAGGAGATGGAACACGGCTGGCAGACCGGGTGGTTACGGCGAATGGCCGTGCTGAGCGATCCGATCCAGATCCCTCAGTCCTGCATGGCATACCCGGCTGCCCCGAGTCTAGAGAGAGGGTGTTGGGGAAGTGTTGAACGTTTGCGATGGTCCTCCGCCTGGCTACCCTCTTGAAGATTCGCAGCGCCACCTCCTCGATTGCATGCTTGAGCCTGCCATCTACCGTCTCCAACTCGGCAACAACACCAAACAGAAGCAGTTGCAGGATGCCGTCTTTGACCACTGGCTTGTCTGTAGCTTCGTGGCTATCCAGCGGTGCCGCCAGCGTCTCGGGCACCAGCAGGAAGAGAACTGTCCCCAAGGGTCCCACGGTAGCGGAATATGCCGAGAACCGGCCTTTGGATTGTGTAGTAAATACAAATCTCTTACCGAGCGTGTGTTTTCAATGGAAGTAAGTTACAGCAGTGGTGATGGCTACTAATCCGCCTCGGGACGGCTGCAAACTTCTCACCTCTTTACACGAGACAATTCTATCCTCTCGCCGTCCATCCAATTTCGTCCCAAAGCAGAATTCCAGCCTGTGGGAAGCTGCAAAAACTAACAAGTATCCGCAACGTCTTTTCTCGTGTGTCACTACATGATAGTACAATATCCTGGCATCATCTTGAAAGGCGAGATGAAAACTACAAGTACTCTACCAGAAAGCTACGCCGCCGCATAAAGCCAAGCAGACTATTTGCAATAAACACACGTCAGAATATGTCACTCTCGGTGGGCATATTCAACTCCTCATACTATACCGGCATTAAGTATCTAATGTTATAATCACGCCACCTCTCCACCACGTCACGGTTCATGTTTGCCAGCGCCAAAGTACCCGGGAAACTGTGAGCGGGGACCAGATCATCGTGGAAACGGCCTCTACTCATTTACCTCATTTGTTATCGAACCCTTGATTTGCGGTTTTTTTTTTTTTTTTTGGTTTTTTTTTTTTTTTTGTAAATACAGTAGCGCTACTGACTGGTCCGGACCGCGGCACAGATTCTTTGACCGTGCAACACGATTGGTCAAGATACGTTTACGTGGCGATACTCTCGTCGTTGCGCTATTAATTACTCGTTAAATGGCATGGCCAGAGGCCGCTCTACATGCATCTTGTACACCCCCGTCTCGTGTGACATCAAGCTTCAATGCTCTCATGAACCGCAGCCATACTCGGATACATACTATTACGGAATTGAGTCCTAGCGAGTCCAGACGTCACCAGGACCAGTTACATTCCTGTCTACAGGGCCGAGATGGACATCATGGCCATGGTAAGTGCCATGGAGTGGAATTTGTCCCGTCGCTTACACGCCCCAAAAAAAGCGGTGCTAAAACCAGCAGCAAACAGTGATACATGACAATCATCAGCGAGGTCTTGCATTGTTCAACTAGAATTGACTTTTCAGGGGTACATGAACCAATCGATCGCCCGCTGTCGTCGGCTTCGGTAGTCGTCCTGCCCGGATATTAATCTGCAACGCATAGTGCATCAAGCGCGGCTCTTTCAAGGTCGCGTCTCTCTTACTCCTCCAAGTCACAAACTCCTCCTGCGAGGTCCCGTCTTTGAGGTGTTTGTTCTGTTCCCGCTGCTGACTGACCGTCATGGCCGAGATGGCACGACCGGCCCTGGTCTCGGGCGGGTAGTCATGTCCAGTCCATATCTTGACATGCGACCCGTGACTGAGCAGTTTCTGGACAGAGTTATACAGCTGCGTCGCATCGCCGCCGGGAAAGTCGCAGCGTGCAGAACCGACGTCGGCGTTGAAAAGGGAGTCGCCACAAAAGATGTTATCTTTTCATGTATGACTTAGCAGTCGGGACTACCTTGACACCGAGTTGCGACTTGCCTTGAATCTTGTATCCAACGTGATCCGGCGTGTGGCCGGGTAGGTACAGCACAGTTGCATTCAGGTTGCCAATCTTAAACTCGTCATCGTCCTCAAATAGCCTGTCAAAGGCATTTTCATATTCGGCCTTGTTCACGCCATACCTATCCCCAAACCGCTTTTGCACCTCGGCTATGCGCTTGCCGATGCCTATTTCGGGTCGAGAGCCTTGACTTTTTTCAAGCTGGTCCTGCAAGTAGGCTGCGCCAGTGAGGTGATCTGCATGGGCGTGCGTCTCCAGGATCAGGTCTACTTTGTAGCCCTTGTCCTTGATTAAAGCGAGCAAAGCATCTGCGCTTTTCGTACTGATGGTGGCGGAGGCAGGGTCAAAGTCCAACACGGAATCGATGATAGCCGCGCTCATCGTAGACGGGTCTGCGACGACATATTGCCAAGTTCCAGTATTTGGCTCATGAATATCGTGAACCGCGATCATCTGATCCATTTTTGCTGTACTGTATGATGATGCGCTTTCTGTGGTGTAATGTTGGAAACAAAATCCCGCGACAGTTGGGAGTGCAGAAGTGTTTTGCCAATGCAGGTCAGCTGGGCACCATTTTCTTGGTGTTTATATATATGGCGGCTTTCAAACATGTTCAGTGGCCGCTTGGGTACGTCCTGAGACGGGCAAGACGTCAAGGTTCAACACCATCAGTCGCCGAGACGCCATCATGATCGGCGACCACAGAAGCAAAGGCTCGGAAGTGCCACGCCACTCCAACACGGCTCACCCACCGATGGTCGTTGAAAACGCTCCGCCAACCGTGACCCAAGGTGGCCGTGGTGGAGTCAGATGAAGACCGATCTAGACAGGAAGCCACACGGTGGCTGGAGCTTGAAGTCCTCGTCGGGTAGGGCACACGAGGTTTCCGATACCCAGACCAGATAGGTTACCCAGCCCGATTGCCGTGCATGAATGGGAGACGGCGCGACTACCAAAGTGAAGCGTGAAGCGTGTTGGCCATGGCTGATGGGCGTGCGACAAGAGATTATCAGATTTTCCCCGCGACACCGTACGTCGTGTCCATGTTACGTCTAGTGGAGTTTTGTGGTCAACAAAGAAACCGACTTCGGCATACACAATGTGAATCGTCTCGTACTTGCCTTACCCTACAATGGGGCTTAACATTCGACCCTGACCGATTCGCAGCTGCTAGGCATCCCCAATCTGACTAGGTCCTACCTGCCTGATCCTCTGGTCTCGTATTATTGGATGATCCCAAAACAATGACCAAACTCGCAACTTGGAAAGGGCAGCTCCTTCCCAATTGGGCCAGATATGACCACGAAGACTTCAGAGTTTTGTTACATATTGGTCTCATGCCATCTACAGGCAAACAAGAACTTGGACACTTGGACCTTGTAGCCAGAAGGCTGTGTTTGTGAAAAACAAATCAAGTCGGAAGACTTGCTCTCCAGATAATGCGAATAGTCCTGGATATACAGCTGTGGCAATGGCCCACGTCGGCCGCGGAAAGCTAGGGTGGGCCATAGGGCAAGAAGAAAAAGCCGTCATCCTCGCCGTGTGTGGATTGCTGTGACGGGGTATGCTCAATCACGAGACATGCCGATGGACTTGCTTTTTTTTCCTTAGCAACAGTAGAGGCTATCGTGGTACCTGGTACCTTGTAGACGACTGTTCTGGACACGGTATCTACCTGCTTAGGTGTAAAAGTATCCATACATTTCCCGTCACCGCATACTTCCGCGGCTCCACGATCGGATACCCAAAGACAACAAACGGCACGTCTTTCTCAGTGCCTAAGTGTCTTCTGGGCGACCGTTTTCTTCTCGTTACTGTCTTTGAATCGTTCCATGTTGTAACAGATTCTCTGTTACGCAAAGGGCCGTCGCTACCCCAGCTCGAAAGGGCTCGCTCGCCAACCGGCCGAATGCCTCTCATCACCGCTATTATTTTGCAACCACTAAATATCCAACACCTTTTCCCACGATGAAGTTCTTTGCAACCGTCTCATTCCTTGCCCTTGCCGGCCTCGGTCTTGCCACTCCCACGGAGCAGGCTACCTGCGCGACTTGCAGGCGGGCATGTCTTCGCGCCGACACGGGTGACTGCTATCCCACTTGGCCAGAGCCCGTCTGTCACACTTACCACATGTTTCTTGGACAGGGATATTTCACAGTGTAAACGGGAAATGACGATGATCTGGCAAGTTTAAGTGATACTTTCTAGCAAGAACGAATATACCATTTCGTCTAGGTACTACGTCTAGTCTTTACAAAAGAAAAGAAAACATCCATCTTGAGACTCTGAATCGCAGCGAATCCTTTCCATTCCGAAGCGAAACTTCCTGCACACAACTCATATGTAATCTTTCACCGCATCGTAGAATGCATCCGGATCCTCAAACATGGGGAGATGCCCCGTTGAAGGCACAATCCTCAACTCGGCGTCGCCTTGACCCAACAGCCCCCTGAATCCCTCCATGGCCTTGACAACTGCACCTTTTGCATCAGTTTCCCCCACCACGAACAATCCAGGCACACTGCAGCTCTTCATGTCCGGCTTCATATCGTAGTCCCACAGTGCCGTGCAGCTGTTCGCGAACCCTTCAACATCGTTTTCTACCAACATATCTATCATTTCCTGCGCGGGATTCTTCTTGTCCATGGTAGTAGGGTGAAACCAACGCTCCACGGTTTGAACGGCAAGTTTCTTGATACCCTGCCCGGCGTCGCCTTGTGCAATGGCCACGCGATCCTTCCATGCTTGCGTGTTGGTCGGGCTGGATGTAGCGTTGAAGTCGCAGGCGATGAACTTGCCCAGGCGAGTGGGGTACTTGATGGAAAAATTAAGCGTAGTTGCGCCGCCCAGGGACACACCGATAAGGGCGTGCAACTTGGGAATTCGGAGAGAATCTAGAATGAATTTGAAGTCGTCCGTGATCATGTTGAGTGTTGCAGGAACGGGCGGTTGCGGGATGGCGTGTCGTCCGCGGGTATCGTAGCGGAGAATACGAAGATCTGGCCGGTTCTTTTTGAGAATAGCAACAAAAGAGTCCCACATGTGGAGGGACGTGAGGAGGGAGTTTGAGAATGCGACGGTGGGAGCGGTAGGTGAGGAGTTGCCTTCGAGGAGGTAGGGAATGTTCAGGTAGTCCTTGGTTGTGACGTATGACGATATGACCGCATCGGAACCAGGCATGGTTGTTGTTTTTCCGTCAGTGGACGTAAAGGCTGCAGACGCAGGGAGTTCCGATAATGAGGCAAGGTCCCTAGGGGCAGGTCCAAATACATAGAACAGAGACCACGTTTGCCGTCCTTTTGAGACAACACATTTGCTGAACACCTCTGTGCGCCACTGCGTATCCATAGAAGCTTTGTGTTCCGCGCCTCCCAAGCCGTTCTGCTTTGTGTAGTCGTGTAAACAGAAACATACTACCTTTCCAGGATCTTCTAGACTCGACGTCTTGAACAGCCGCGATCGCAGCCAGCCGGGTACTTTCGAAATCAACTCGGCATGCTCTTGGACAAACCACTTCTGATACTGGTCTCCTGCTCCGTCGGCCTCGGACACAGTGATATCCACGGCCACGGTAACTATGCCCTCGGCCTCCTCGTCTGTCAGAGTCTCAATGGGTGTGAAGAGAGGCGACTGCTTGGTGTAGAGCAGATGATAAAAGTAACGCTTGACATCAACCTGGCTAATAGTGTTTGCTTCGCGGCTAGAGCGGTTTTCTCTCAGGGTAGTGTAAGTTTCCGTTTCAAGGTGGTTCATTGCCGTGACATCGTATACTGCCATGAAGGCAGGCTGATCATCAGAAGTGGCCTTATAGCGAAGACCATTGGGAAATATTTTGGGAAGCCGCAGACGAGTCGGACCGTGTTCATTATTGTACCACTCGTGGAATTGATTCAGTGAGAGACCCGGCTTGGGGGTCATGGTAACGAGCAAGATACCAGGAGGAGACATTGTGACGCTTGAGGTTTGCTAGATGAGTTTGATTTGGTCGAGTACACGAATACATTCGTACAAATAGATGGAGGGGGCGATGTGAATTGGCCTTTGTGATGTGGTTGAAGATGAGATTCATCACGGACCTGGACAATCCATCTCAGCCAGCGGCAGTGGATCCGATGGATCGGGGTCGAAATCGGGTCGGCAAGCGATGTCGGGTTTGTCGTCATTGCTGGGAGTTGAGGTGTGGAGGGGTGGAGGGGTGGAGGGGCAGAGGGCAGAGGGGCAAAAGATTTACCCCACGCGTCTGGTCAAATCTTCAAATGCCTGCACATGTGGCAATTGATCCCTTCAATATTGGCACTCACCCTGCAACTGCATGCTGTGCAGGCCGAGCCATGTTCATGTTGCTCATTGTTGTACTCACCAAACTTCAAGGTAGACTTCAGGCCGCCACACACAATCCGTCACCGTGGGACAATTATGGCAAACCCTGCGGAGCTGGAAATTGGCCATGCCCGTCAGGATAATATTCGATGAACCATCTACCAGAAGCTTACTGCGAGACCAATCAGCTCTGCCATTGGGCCGAATAACACGAGATTGGATGTGATCCGCCGTGGCGTGCATGATTGCTTGAATTTATCACAGAATGACAAATTGATGAGTATCGGCATTTCAAGATGCTTAGTGTCTACGCATCGTCGACATCACTGAAGCGGGCAATCATCGTCGTGAGTCAAGAGGCGGCTATCGGACTAAAGATGTCAACTGGTAGAGCGAGAATCGTTTATTGCTCTTGTTTCCTTCTAGTCAAAAGCGCACTTCATTTCAAACGGGGCATCATCAGCAGCCGCCAACTCGCTGCAGATACGCGTTCCAGCCCTCGTCCCTGTACCTCTTGGCTGCGGCCACTGCATCTCCCGCTGCATAGATGCCACGCCCAGCAATAATAAAGTCGGCGCCCCGGCCGACTGCCTCTGCGGGAGTTTGGTACTGCTGGCCGAGCTTATCCCCACGACTCTCCAGATTAATCCCCGTGGTGAAGACGACAAAGTCCTCGTAGCGCCCACCATCCTGGGGCTGCACCGTCGTCAGGGCACGGGTGGCCACGAATCCAAACGTGGATCCGGGGTGGCTGCGCGCCAGGTCAACGCACCGGCTTGTGTACAAGCCCGTCGCCAGGCTTCCCTTGGACGTCATCTCGGCGAGCAGCAGGAAGCCGCGCTCGCCGCGGAACGGGAAGCCGGGGTCTGTGATGGTTTGCGTGAGAGCATCGACGATGCCGTCGCCGCTCAGGATGCTGAGGTTCACAATGTCTGCCCACTCGGAAATGCGGAGAGCCCCGTTGTGATACTGCTTCTGCACCGTGCTGCCAATGTCGACGAGCTTGCGGTCTTCGAATATCATAAAGTTGTGCTTCTTTGCCAGCGTCTTTAGACCTTGAATCGTGGCGTCACCAAAGTCTCTCACAACATCGATGTGCGTCTTGAACACGGCGATGTACGGACCTAAATCTGCGCGTCGCTCGCATCAGCTGCCCAGCTCTTTTTCTTTTCTTTTTTTCCTGCAGCTGAATCAAGTCTGTCTCATCCCGAACGAACCATCTGCGCATTTGAGCAAGCTTTCCGTGTCCTCGAGATCAGCGGAGACGACCAAGTTGGATTTCTTGGACTCGGCGATTTCGAACAACTTCCGCGCAACGGGGTGCTGATGCGCCTGGCCTCTTTGGGCGTACGATTTGCTTGACTGCGATGCCATTCTGTGTGTCGTTTCAAGTTGCTGGCTCGGGATGCGTGCGTCTGTTTTGATGTAATTGCTAAAACTGAAATCGAGTCCGAAAGAGAGAGTATATTCAGTGGAAATTGCAAACTTGGCAAGGAAGGGTACAGTGAGGCAAATAACTTATTTTGTTTGGGTCCCTGATTTGGCAAATTTTTGAGTGCGACGGCCTTGTGCCACTTTTTTGTGGACAACTAGCGTCTAGTAAATCCAGAATCTACCTACTTAAGTAGTCAGGCAGTGAATACTACAAATCATTCTATTGTGAAAATTTGCAGCATTCGCCATCTGGATATATTTCGAACGCCCTTCTTGCTCCTCTTTGCTTCCATTTAAGCCTATTGTGTAAGGTAGCTTTTCAAAACATATTTACACTATTACCGCGCTCGATGGGCAGATTGCCTGTTTGCCAAGAATCTAAAAATGTTTATTCGACTTGCGCAACCACTTCAACCAAAACTCCCACCGACGCAACTCGTGGAACTTAATTTCCTTGTTTCACGACGGTCCTCCAAGGTCTATTGCCTGGAAAATTCAAAGAGGAGTCTGTCCCATCTCATCCGCTGCCTTGCAAGCTGTGAATCGCATCACTTGAATCGCTCGTCTGGGTCCACACTAACGCCATTCGAAATATCCTAAGCCCGGGAAAGACGAACGCACAGAATGAGATTTGTGACGCCATACACTGCCATGGGCGACAGGTATTCAAGTCACAAAAAAGCTATTATTGAGTCGGACATTGATCTCTTATAATGCGCCCGGCAACTGCGTCTGGAATAACACGGTCAGTTCCATCTATTTTCTTCCGAGGCCTCTCGATGACATACGCGTAATTGTGTGAATAATCTGAAACACATTCCCTGTTGTCTTTCCCCGTCTTTGCCAGTTTGTGGCTCGTTAACAGAGAATCGAATCGATATTGCCCTCCTTATCATCTCTTTATCTTTAATAACCGCGTTCACTTTCTTCACGGGATCCTTTTCTCCTCAGTGCAGATGATATGTCTCGCGATGCCAATAAAGCTCACAAACTCCTTGTAGCGAGTGTGAGTTTGTATTCTTAGCATGATGAATGAATTTCCCATTCGGAATTCATTGGCTGATTTAAGCACAATTAGGCGAGATCCAAAAAGAGGGAATCGTATAAGAGCCAGGTCGTCTATTGCAAGTAGCTCGCCCTCAGAAGCCTCAGGATTCTATGCACCAAGAAACATCGATCATAATTAGCAGCCCTGAATATTGAATTGGAGATATTCCCAGTAAGACAAGTAGCCCAGCAAGACAAAGTCCGTATCCCCGAGACAACAGCGTCAGGTTCAGTTACGCGCAGATGTGCTTATTGAATATAAAGACAAGTTCGAACGTATTGCGATTGTGAGATGGATTAGGTCATCATGTCGGAGAATGCAACCGTGAAAACGGCTTCTACATCAACTGCAATAGTATGTTAGCTCACAGCGACGGCAGATTTGAGAGCTCTCGCCACCATTTCGCAGGCATCGTAGGTGTGCTTACCCTTCATTCCACGAATAGCTTCGAGCACATTTGCAAACCCGTCCAAAGTTGCTATAACGTCCTGCAGAGCGTGGCGGAGTTCGTCCACCCGGCGCTCGTAGCTCGTCGTCATCATATCGCCAGCCTCTTGTTGATGCCTCAGATATAGTCGATAGAACTGCATCATCATTACGTAGCTGGCATGCATTGCACAACATAAGATGGTCGGGGTCATTCGAGCTGGAACAGCAGCAAGGCTCTTGTCGGGGTATGGTAGCTTCTTCAGTTGCCGAGACACTTCCAGCGCCGATTCTACGCAGACTTCCGCGGCCTCATCAAATGTAAGAGGCGATGATTCTGGCGGGTTGGTTCGTGGAATGACATTGTCCGTGTCAGGAACGAAGTCTGGAGAACTCAAGTCGCAATGGTTCATGCTGAATAAAGGTATATCCGAAAATGCGTGATATCTATGCAGCCGAATTCTAGCACTGAGACAAGTTTATGTCAGCATGGGCTGAAGCCGCGGTGGCCTATTGAAGTTGGGTTATTTCCTCCCTTCCGACGATCATACCTGGAACTCCTAATGGCTGCAATACTGCGCATCGTTTTGGCAACAAGCGGCTCGCTCGCTGGGTCTCCGTTGGTAGGAGACGCTTTGGATCGCAGGCCGCTCTTAGCACGTTCAATCAATTGTACGGCTCGAGCGTCTAGTGCTGCTATTTTCTCAGACTTCGAACGAAGCAAGTCTGGGTCAGGCTTTGCGCATGGCGGTACTCTGGCTGCTGCAAGCCGAACAGTCGCGAAAGACACCTGAAGAGACTCGATATACAACGGCCAGACCTGCGAGATTATATTTAGTGCCTACTAGGACGTGACTTTGTGGCAGTCAAGGCTCACCTCGGGATCACCCTGTATGGTGGGATATGGGGTGGTGTAAAGACTATCATCCTCCATGATAACGGATGCCTAGTGAGCGGTCATTTTAGCAAGTCGGGAAACGGACAATCGGCAGCAATCGAGGAACGGAGACAAAACTCACGCTCTGTCGAACAACGGAGCACAGTTGGGCTCGAAAGTACTGTGTTATGTCAGTGGAAACACCTACAATGAATCCTTGGATATAAAACATACACTCATCCACCAGGCTCTCCTTTTGGCTTCAGAATATTCGTCCTCATAGCTGTTTAGTTGATGGAGAGACATATTTTTTGCCATGATTAAGGCCTGGCTAGCTCTTGTGGTCATTTTAAGCATATTTCCTCTTTGAGTATGCTCGTAGTTGCTTAGCAGCAGTAGTGCAAGCAGTCCTTCGAGCATCACTGGAGTTCGAGGATGTAATGGAAAGCGAGGGATTGGTTGACCTTCGAAAGGGATTGGACTTGGGTGGCCGCCAGGGGTGTCGTCAATAAGTTCGGAGTCTGACTCCACACGTTCCAAAGCCATTTGGGCCAGTTTATGAGCTATTGATCTTCTTAGAGGTTCCTCGGCTGACATTACGGGTGTGGGTTCCTGGTCCGGAAAGGGGATCAGAGCCAACATGGCCGATATGGCCAGGGCCAGTGGCGAGGTCAAAGTCAGGGAAAAGCATCCCTCAAGACTCGTGATCCGTATCGGATTATCCGGGGTAACAGGCCTAACGGGAGGCGGGAGGATTGGAAAGTACTGATGTAGGTAAATGTAGTAGGCATTCAATCTGTTCAGGGGTCAACAAGGTTCTTTCCGGTGCGTTGGTGACAAGACGTAACCAATAGTACACATACATAGCCTGCTCACTGTCATATATTCTGACAGCGTGTTGCACGAAGTCCTCAGCTCCAGAATCACTGGTTCCGAGACTGCCGGCACCACTCGGCAGATTGATCTCATCAAATGAGAGCAGTCTTAGTCCCGCGCCAGGTGAGGTAAGGTGATCAATCTCGCTCAGAGGAGGAGAAGGGAAAGCTGCAATTTGAGATTAGTTATTAACTCCCGGAGTAGGGATGGGCGATAAGTCTTGAAAAGCACTTACCGAGATCAGGTTGTTCATTGGTAGTTGGTTTCGCAGCCACATTTCTCTTCTTACGTGAGCCTCCTCGGCGACTAGGCGTGTACGAGCATTCCCGGTTTCGAATTCGACACTAAAGCGTTCGTAAATTAGCATATTGAACAAACTGACACTGGGGAATAGCCATGAGGCTTTGACGCACCCCGTGGCACGGCTGGTCCCCATCGCAGCGAATTCTCGATACGCGACTGTCATGTATTTGTTAGTACAAGGCTGATACAAGCCCCCGGGTCCGACCTGAGTCTACAAAGAGAAAACGAACCAAGCCAGACATGCTAGTTTGACAGGTCCGCGACCTGACTTCCGCTCCGGCTGTCCCAACTTTGGCATCGCGAAGGGCTGAGGTATCCTAATCGAATAACTCAGATCAATATCGATGGTGGTTTGTAGAAGTCTCAGTTCGTCGAATGAGTCGTCAGATATAGAGGCTTTGTCAGGATCTGAGTTCAAACACCGCGGCATTTGGCCATCAACACCTGACTGGCCAAATGACGCATATATGTGGGGCCCTGCTCGCCCAAACGGGCACGGCTTGTCGGCCACGCCTTCCGGTCAAGATGGCCTGACATCTGGGCCACTTTGAATCAAACGCCGAATCGGTCTTACGATGTGATGTCAACATTGATTAAATAGTCTTTTTTACGAAAACGTTCATTATGCATTCCGATCTTCGATTCAGTCTATTCAAGTTCCAATGGATAGATTTGCCGCAATGTCAGAGGCGCAGGCGCACGAGAGCTCCATCACGAAACCTTTGCCACGGCTAGACTAGATCAAAGATGCACAGCCGGCCTCAGCTTTGGAACCAGAGAAAGAGACGCAGACAATCAACCCCAACCTCAACTTCAAGTGTCAAGGGCTGATCCACGGCTTTTTCAAGGATTTTATCCCATTGTAAGCGAACTTCTTCCGCGACTCATGACACCAACCATCACTAACAAGCGGGGGCTCAAAGATGGTTCACCAGACAGCAAAAAATTACACCGGGTATCGCTTTCCACCTTCGCACTGAATTTGTTGCTATTTGTTTTATTTCTCATCACAAAGATTGCCCGATACCTTCTATACTGAGGATTGTGGGCAACTAAATGATGCAACATCCGGCTTTGCCTCCATTTTTGGGCACTATACCCATGGGACTCGCTAATATTATCACAATGATTGTACTTGTGTGTACAAACATAGGGGTACTCGGCTCTCATACTGGTGAACCATCATGGTGAAGTTGACCCCCTAATACCATGTTGGCGTGGGTGCTATGATGGATCGATGCTGTTGTATCCGTCCTGGTACGCTATTTGGTGTCATTCGTCATGTAAGTTGGTTTTGATATTTCTTTTCAGCCAGCTATTACAATATGGCAAGCATGCATGTCCACGACCCCAAACTGCCCTCCACAACAGCAGTCTGGTTGCGACCAATCGCTCCAACAATTGCGGCATTCGGCACAGGCGCAAAAATAGCGCAAGCTTTCACTGGAATGGCATACATCCTTTGGGGTACAACGACAATCCCCTTATCAATGACTTGCCGTGTATTATGCTTCCATCGCCTCACAATGCACAATCCGCCGCCTCGCGAAGCCATCATCTCGGCCGTTATTGCCGCTACACCTCTAGGCGAACGCTTTCGCCATCTTGCAGCGCGGAAAGGGTTTCAGCTCAATTACTCCCGGAGACGAAGACCCTAGCAGCCTTCGGCCTCGCAGCTTCATTTGGCCATGTCTTGTATGTCCTTGGTTGGCTGGTCTGTCTAGCAATGTGGGCATATGGCCTAGCATTGGCTCTTCTTGGCATTGCTATGCATCGTGAGGTATCGAAAAATTTCCATTCAAAATTGGCCGGTAGGGATTCCCAATGGGTATCTGGACCAGCGCGACGTTATCATTGGATAACGAAATGGCTTCAAACTGGTTCAGCTCTATTTTGGGCACAGTACGTATCTAGCCAGTGGTACTATTGCTTAACTATTTTCCATTCGGACTACTTGTTTCTCACCCTTTGAAAACATGACGAATTAACTTATTATAGGCTGCACTGTGCATTGTGACTTTGCTTTGGTCCTTGCTGGTGTTCTTCATTCGCGGCTCCATGAACGGCCACATTCTCGTCGCACCTGATCTCGATAAAGGACTAAAAAATAACTGCCGCTGAAGAAACTCTCTTAGATTATAAGATATTAACTTTTTTTAATCGTCCTATCACAATGCTCGTGCAAGCACGACCTCAGGTAAGACCCAATGAATTGAACACCGTGTGCCTGGTTGTACCAAAACCAGACAACTATGATATAGCGAGTGAGACACTGTAGGCGCATCGCGATGCGTCTTGGAAGGTGATATTCACGTCTTGAGAACGACATCATTTCAGCCTTTGCGGACCCTCGATGAAAGGGCTGCCGCATAATGTCGAGTGCAACATCGACGCTCACCTAATGCAATCGGCATCTTGCACGTACGTTTTTCTTGCATGGCTTGAAAGATTGAAATTTTTCGCAATAAAACCAATACCGTACTGGGTTCATCGGAGTACCCAGTAGATTATGGCGCATAATAAGGTCAATCTAGTGTTGTATAGCAGCAACTCGAACTCGACGATATGATCAACTTGTCTCTATATAAAAATACAACGACAGACGATAAATCAAGTTAGGCAATATAAACACTACTCATTATGCACATGTTACGGATCAGGGTTTATATCTCGTACTAGTTGTCTGATACACAGCGACAAAATGTGGGTACGTGCTGCGCACAACACAGTTCATCATGACGGGTCTATAATGACGTCATATTTTCAATAAATGATGCATCATAAGTACCTTGCCTAAGGTTGGGTTGTCGCAAAGACCGCTCTATGCATTTTACTATCCCTGGGGCTTCCCGCCGGCGCTGCTTTTCGTCCCGTCCGCCACATCTTGAGCAGGACACAAGCAATATACGCAGCGGCAACCACCGCAACTACGACGCAATACACAACAATAAAGGCGTGGTTATCAACAGAGAGGCCAGCGAGCTGCAGTCCAAGACCGCCATTGATCATTCCCAGAATGATGAGCGAGCGGCCGTACCAGATGTGGAGGTAGCTGACGATGCCACGTTGCTTATTCCTGAGATAATGTCGGTGGTGGAGGTAACCCAGGAGGGGTTGTAGACTGACGAGGCAGACCAAAATGATGCCAAGTTGCGAATGACATTGTTTGAAGAACTGTGACGCCGGCGTCAGCCCAAATGTATGCGGACAAACTCGAAAAATGGCTGTCGGGGAGGGAGCATACCAGATCAGTCCGACGGGCGAGAGTGTAACCAACTCCAAAGCCTGCCCACATGGCCAAGAATGTGACGAGCTGCCAGCCTGCATGGATAGCCCATCTGCCCAGGAGCGACATCAATATCGCGCCGATGGGATAGCCGAGCACGAAGACGACAGCCATGACGATGCCGTGGGCGTACATAAGCGTCTGGATGGGGTCGTCTTGCACGACGACAACTACACCACCGCCAGGTGCTGACCCTGAGCCAGAGCCAGATGTAGAATCCCCGGCGTTGTCGTCACCGCCCGCAAATGGGTTCTGGTCCGACAAGATAGTCGCCTTGGAAAAGTCCACCGAAAACAAGGCATTCCCGTCATGGTAGCCAATCTGGGCGTCAAGGTCCGTCGAGGCCAACGAGCGGCCATGCTTCCACGCGCTCAGCCACGCATTTGACGAACCCAGGGCCAACTTGGAGCAACTGCTACACTTTACATTAGCAACCATCTGGCCATTCATTTCGCCCGACCCGGCAAGCAGCTCAACGCCAGCATTGGTCTTGTACACGGGCATGACATGGTTCAGGCCCCGTCTCGTACTGAGCGTCACGTTGCCAGCGCCGTCAGCATACATGACAAACATGTCCGCGCCATTCATGTGGTCGCCGATGCCCAGGCCAACCCACTGGTAGGACGCTTTCGCGCGGATCTGGATGTAGACGCTGCCGGAGCCAGTAGAGGCAGCGGCTTCGGGGACGCCCCATCGGAAACAGATTTGGCCAGAGACGGGACAGTAGGATGTTGTTGCGGCATAGGCCGTAGCGGCTTCTTTTTCGTTATTTAGTCAGTACCATTGGCCGGCTGGAAAGGAGAAGAAACGGAGCTTACGCAGTGCGGCGAGCCCAGCGACGAGTGCGGTGTCTCTCATGGTGAGTCTAATGACAGTGCGCTCTCTCTCGCAAATCACTTTCTTTCAGAAGGTTTCGTCGCGATCAAGAAGAGCAGAGAAGCAAGGTTGTCACGGCAGTCGCACAGCCTAAAAGTCGGAGTACTTGGACAGTCATAAATATCTCCCGGTCTTGCGATACTCATCCATCGGCCCCAGCGCAAAGGCAACACAGCAGACTCTGGTAAATTCCGAATCTTCATTTCTCGATTGGCCACCCATTTCTACCGCTAAGCTTGCTTCCGCTACGGCAATTGGTGTTCCGGGTTGCCCCCCATGATAGCTGTGCTTCCTTGGGTGGTGTTTGCCGGGCCAGCAGGACGTAACTATTGGGTCGTTGCTTGTGTGCGTCTCCCGCGACGCTCTAGACTCGGGATTCAGTATTGACCCGCGCTTGGCTGGATTGGCTGCGATGAACAGGCTAGGTTCATCCGTGCCCGGAGCAGCGTGTTCCCGGGGCGTTGGTTTTTGTCGTCGTGGCGCAGCGAACGTACGGGTATTGGGCCAATTCAGCCACGGGAATATGGAATAGCGGGCGCTGGAACGGGGACAGCCAGCGTAGGTGGTAGTTGTTTAGAGCTGGTGTATCGGGTGGGTTGTGTTGTACCGACTAGTGGTTTCCGCCGCTCGAGCAAACAAAGTCTGTCGGAATCGACGACGCAAGTAGCACTCGCTGCGCTTGCTGGCATGACTCTTGTGCTTCATCACAAGCGGATGACTTCAGCCGATCATTATCATTGTCGGCAGCCGGCTCAATCGACGGCTTGAGTTGTCCCATGGTGGCAGTGAACTCTACAGACAACTCGACGCCAGAAACCCATCCTTCACTAATACAGGCCGGTGTAAGAATCGATGCAACGCAAACTCCAAGGCTACAACTCGACAAGAAACAGCGCTAAAGGAATAGTGTCTGTACAAAGTCTCGCCGTGTCCCCCGTTTATGTTTCAATATTGCCGAAGTCAGCACAACTACACCACATGTAGGACGCTCTAAGTAAACACCAAGGGAAAGCAATTCCTCTCTACCACGACGGAGGTAAATGCTGTTCTCTCTAGCCTCTTTTCTCTCATTAAAAGCCTTTCTTCCCCGTGAGAACTGACAGAATTGGTTCAGCAAAGGATTTGTGCATTTAGACGTCAAAGCGTGCATCCGCCTACGACGGCTGGTCGTGCACATGGCCGTTGACTCTTTTTACTGGCATTGCCCAAAGTCAAACGGTAATAACAGAAGGGAAAAGTAAAAAAAAAACCTTCACTCCATTTAGCCTTGAGAATCGTAAACGGCGGAATTTCTCCAAGACACACACTCCAACCCTGTTCCGTGGCCCCGGGATAAGACCGCTAGCCGACGGGAGGAAGCAGAGGCAACGACAGCGCAAAGGGGGAAAAGGCTTGCTGCATGAAATCCTACGTAAATTTATCCTCAAGACACGGCTCAGAAACGCTTGCCGTCTTTCTTGATCCCCATCTGTGCGCCTCTTCTTCCCGCAATGTCTCATCCAGCCACACAGCTATCACGACATTTCTCACGTACCGCCTGCATGATTTTTGACCCAGTGACTTATCATTTACTTATCTGGACCCGGATTGCTTGCTTCGTACACTGCTCAACACCAGTCTCACTTGGATGCTCTGTCAACCTGTCTGAGAGAACATGCACTCCCCATTGCTCGACATCGTATGGGCTCTGAGGCAACACATCAATGCAACCACTCTGAATTATCAGCTGAGACAACTCGTCCTGATTTGTCTTCTGCAGCCTTGTTCATTCATTGGGGTTGTGTGCTGCGATGATGGGCGCAAGACATGGCCATCAACATCGCGGGTAGAGGCTAGAGCTGCCTTCCAATGCTGCTCACAAGTACCATGATTGCCATCATTTCTTCCGTAAATATTTGGCTCATGGAAATCACAAGATCTAGTAAACCTGGTCGGCACTTGCTGGGCCGCAGGGTTTACAAATGCCAACCGACAAATTGGAAACGAGCCTGTCCGTCGGGGGCCAGTTGACCGTTGCGATGCATGGCTTGATTGATACATTAAACTTCGAGCTTCATCTCCAATACTGCGATGACTGCACCAAAGGCAGGGTAGCGTCAGTTGAGACTTCTAACCGTCCAGTCCAAAAAAGGTGTGTTTCTCCCAGTGAAACATGATGGCCGCCCATTTGTGCCAGCTTCTTATGCTGCACGTACTTGGTTCGACCATTCAAACGATATGTCTTGAGTTCATCGAGGACATCACTCATTCCAGCAAGTTCCCCGCGTGTTGGGGGCCGCAGGTCCGAGGGCATTACTGCGGCGCTCCACGCGACATGAAAGATGAAGCATCTGGATGGTGCCCCGGCTAGAACCTGAGCTGGACTTACAGGCCCAACACCATCTCTTACATGGCGCTCAAGGACCAGCCGTCGATAATCTTTCAGTGCTTCCGGTGCATCAGGGACATCTGGACCTGCCCATACGGGAATGGAAAATCTATCTCCGTTCCAGTTGGCATCATATGTGACAAACTCTGGGTTGTCTCGGTCAAATCCAGACGCCTGGCTACCAACTGCAGCAGGACTGTGTACAGCCACCCTTTTGGAATGCAGCACTCGTCTAGCGGGAGATCTCGACCAGCTCTCCATTCGTTCATCTTCAAAAAAACTGAAGACCTTTTCCCCACTGTTCATCAACTCCTCTGGGTCAAGATCTTCTGACGTCAAAAAGCCCTCTTCCATAGAATCAGGTTCGAATTCTAGCCTCAAATGTCTCAGACCCTGTAAGACGCCAGGGCTGCGCCGCGTCGATGCGCTGAATGACGCGTCTTGGATCCCGCGCTCTTGGATGGCCAGTAGTTCGAGGAATTGAAGTAGTCGCGAGATCAACGGCCCGGATGACCGACGAGGAAGACAAGTCAAGGTTAGAGATAGCAGGCGTGGGTTCATATCTGGTATAAATGTTTGGGGACAGGTCGTCTCTACACGTCGTAGAATGGTCGTTTCGGCCAGAAACAATCGTGCCAAGGACGACAATCCCACCGCTTGCAAACTCGGTATATTCGTTACGAGAGAATGGTGAATTCTGAGCACACGGAGGTTGGACGAAAATACTGGCCTGAACAAATGTGCTGCGCCCAAAATACCGTACAGGTTAGAATTAGGTGGCCAAGCCTTGCGGTAACTCCCAACGTTGGGGAGCAGAGGCATGGAATCGCAAGTTAGGTCCTCTATATGACCGTTGGATACACGCAGTAGTTTTTGTATGCCATGGGCGGAAAGGCGGTTATACGATAGACGAAGATGAGTGATGCCCGTGGAAAATAGATAGTCGTCAGTTCCTAAGCGGCTTTGATGTTCCTCCGACATTGTTTCTTTCGCAGCGTCAGCACTATCTCTTCGCACCGTTCTGTTTCCATCCAACCTAGGAACTTGATATTCCTGCAGCGCCATGTTAATTTCACTGATATAAGCCGGGGCGTCGACAAAGTATCGCTCTGGGTGACAAAATGATCCACTAAGATCAGACTCTTGTATGCAGAGAAAATGCCCGTAGTCAGCTGTCCCCCAAGACTGTGTAATTATTTTTCCTTCAACCTGGAAATGGTCACTGGTGCGCAACTGTGAAGCAGACAAGCCCCAGTCTTTGAAAATCTGGACTGCATCGTCTGAAATTTTGTTACTGCCCACATCCAAGCTCCAAAGCTGAGGTCCAAATCGCCTCATTAACAGACACAACGCCGAGTCATCCAGTTCTCTTCCTCTCACTTTTAGTATTCGCAGAGCCGGCAGTAAATTCGACTGGAGCAGCGAAATTAGCGAAGCCGGAAGATTGGATATGTCCAGATATATCAGTTTTTGGAGATGTGGGGTATTGAAGAACACGTTGGGGAGCTGACAAGAGCAGTCTTTGATTGAGAGAATACGAAGATTATTCAGACCAAGAGCTGCCGAAGACTGGGGCCCTAACAAGGCTGCATGGTCGATATCAGCATGACCATCAAGAAGAATGGTGTTCACATTAGGCAGTAGTGTTAACGCCCGCTGCAAACTGCTTGTTAACGTTCTTTCGTCTTGGTCTGATGAGAAGTCGAAGGCGTCCTTGGCAAAAGATCTTGCGTCTAGAGCTTGAACAAGGTCTCGAGTTGCATGCCCAACTCGATCAAGCTTATTGAATACAAAGTCAAACCACCAAGTCAAATCTAGAGTTGAACAACCGCGTGGTCAACACTGAGTTCCGCCAAAACGCTGAGGAAAGGACATTTTCCTTGCCTGTAGCTATAGTCGCTGGGATATTCTACACACTCACCATCTCCCGGATCAAGACCAATGCGTCTGACCGAACACAAGAGGTCGCTCCACAATCGTGGAGCAAAGATTTGTCGAAATCGATGACTGACCAGACACAAGGAGCGGTAGTCATCAAATTCGCAGAATGGAGCAACCAAAAGGAGCCAATCTGTTTTGGCGGTAGCTTCTTGATATGACGGTAAGAAAGACATGCCCACACGCCCACAACGTATCAACAATACTTTATGCACCAAGACCAGTGGCAGGGGCAGGGCGTACTGGTGAGTCAACGCCCTTGGACAACCGTTTTAGACGGTCTCGGTGTCGTAGGTACTACCGTATTGGAAAGAGGTGGTAGACGGTCTTTGATCAAACGCCAAGTCCCCGTGTTGGACGGAATCAAACATCGTGTCCCCCTGTCAGCTCCCGAGGCCATTCGCCATCAGCCAGTAGGGAGCCGCGGCAAAGGCAGGCAAATGCAAGTGATAAAACTGCAAATGCATAAAGGAAAGAACAGGCCTGGGCCTTAGCAGAGGCGCATGGCTCTGTGGAGCGTGAGCTGAAGTTTGCTGAGGCACACGTTAACTCGCTGATATGAACGGTTGACAGTTGAGCGAGGGCGACGACGAGGGGCGTCGAGATACAAGCTCGGAGCGTGGCATAAAGGCGGCGACGTTACGTCACTTCGGACACAAGTCGCCATAGTCCGTCG